GAAACTCACTGTTGTGAACAAGAAGAAGAATCTAGCGGAATGCTAGGGGCAAGAGCCCACAACTTTCTGTTTATCCATCAACCACCCAGGGAAGGGATTTAAAATGAGAGATTGAAGAATAGAGAGATGTGCGCTAAGAGAAAAAGTGAGAAAAGGGATTTTTCAGAAAAACGGAGCCTGAGGGCCGAGCGATGTGAGAATCACAAATGAGAAAGGGTGGGAAACAATACCCGGGGAAACAGGCTCCATGTGCACATTTGAGTCTTGTGTTTTATTTTGTCTGTCTCGATTCTTGTTTTAAGTCGCTTCGAGTGTTACTCGATGTGTTTAGGTTGTTTACCTTTGTTTTTCCCTTGTCGAGTCGTTTTGGCTGTGGCCAGTCGTCGGCTCAATACCCGGTTAAGAACTCATTTCTCAATTTCCAAAAAATCATTTTGTGCTCAGAGTGCTATGCCATTCTCCACATTTGTGCAAAACAAGATTCGTTCTTTCATAAAAACCGCAGGGTCCACCCCCGATAAGTGTGAACAGTAGAATAAAGACCTATCTGAAGCTATATGGGTTCCAGACTGCAAAGCAAAAGAAAAGAGAAAAAATTTGGAGCATCTGAGTATGTTTCACCTTCAGCAAATTCCGAGACTGCATTCCGGGTGCACCTTTTCAGGGCTCGCTATTTCTCTGAAGTATGAGTGTATCTCAACCCCAAGCTTAAGCCTGCTTCAAGTCAGAATGGCAGTCCAAGCAGCACCCGAGGGTTTCACATGCAGATGTTATCTCTTGCCAACATAAACAGGGTGTGCCCTTTTTAAGCTGAGTGTGTTACAAAGTCCTCCGAAAGGTAAATCGAAGGCACCAGAGTACATGTTTGATGCCCTTCCATTGCATAGAATGTGCACTTTCATATACACTTCTGTTACATGTGTGCCGCGCATCGTTATGATTTATGCATAGAATATGCTTGCTTTCGATTCTGCATAGAATATGCTTTCAATATTGCATAGAATATGCTCCTGTTTCTTGCATAGAAAATGCTCGTATCTTTTGCATAGAAAATGCACTCTTCCATACTTGCATAGAAAATGCACCTCATTTGCATAGAACATGCATTCACTCGCACTGTCTTGTGCACTTACACTTTGTATCCCACTAGCACTATCTTGTGCATCTTGTGGTTGTATCTCACTCGCACTATTTTGTGCATTGCATATCAATCGCGCTGTTTAGCGTATCGCACTGTCTTGTGCATTTCAAAATCAATCGCGCTGTTTAGCGTATCGCACTGTCTTGTGCATTTCAAAATCAATCGCGTTGTTTACCGTATCGCACTGTCTTATGCATTTCAAAATCAATCGCGTTGTTTAGCGTATCGCACTATTTTGTGCATTGCATATCACTCGCGCTTTCTTGCACATCGCACTGTCTTGTGCATTTCAAGATCACTCGCGCTGTTTAGCGTATCACACTGTCTTGTGCATTTCAAGATCAATCGCACTGTTTTGTGCAATTTACACTCGCGCTGTTTAGCGTAACGCACTGTTTTGTGCAGTTTACATTCGCGCTATTTTGCGCACCTCAATCGCACTATTTTGTGCAGTTTATCATTTACGCTATTTTGCGCATTGCACTGTTTTGTGCAGTTTTCATTCGTGCTATTTTACACATCGCACTGTTTTGTGCAGTTTATCACTCGCGCTGTTTAGCGTATCGCACTGTTTTGTGCAGTTTACATTCACGCTATTTTGCGCACCTCAATCGCACTGTTTTGTGCAATTTTCATTCGTGCTATTTTGTGCATCGCACTGTTTTGTGCAGTTTATCATTCGTGCTATTTTGCGCATCGCACTGTTTTGTGCAGTTTACATTTCGCGCTATTTTACGTACCTCAATCGCATTTTCTTGTGCATTTCAAATCACCCGCACTGTCTTGTGCATTTCAAATCACTCGCACTGTCTTGTGCATTTCAAATCACTCGCGCTTTCTTGCGCATCTCACTGTTTTGTGCACCTTACTTGCATTTTGCATGCATCCTATCGCGCTATCTTGCGCACCTCACTTGTACTTGTTAGTACATTGCATTGTTTTGAATACAAACCGGCTTCGCGTAGCGTATAAGTCCAATTATCAAAGTCTTCTTTCATATCATTTGCATCCTGCCCCTGAACTACGCTGGTTTGATTCCTTGCAAAGTCATACGTAGGCAGCCTGCGGGAACAACAATTTATTTATCGATTTTTTGTTTGTTTGTCCAAGTCTTCGGCCTTGCCAAAAATGGGTCGTCTCTGAGTTTTGACATTCACTCACGTCACTTCTTGACTTTCGAGTTCTGTCAAAGAGGGGCAACTGTAGACACCCCATTTTTGACCGTCCTCAAGACTGGGACGTCACCGTTTGAACACTCGGTGATCATCCATGTTTGTGTTCGTCTTGAGTTCCCGGAGGTCTTGGCTTGCGCGACTTGCCTCAAGATCTCTCGACTCGACTGTTTAGTGTCTGGTTTTGCACCAAACACTTGCGTTTTGCCTTGGAGGGGCAGAGAATGCCTTGTGAGGCATCCCCACACATCACCGGCCATGGCCTTGAAATGCGCGATTGATGGTCCGAGAACCAAGGAGCATGTCCCTTTGAGTCACTAACATGATAAGGGACATGATTGGTGCATACATTGCTTGAATTGCATTGCCATGCTATGCCTTGCCCTCTGCTGGTGTCAATTGCAGATTCTGCAGGAACTTTCTGCCGACCGGCAGTGTCCAGTGCCGACCGGCAATCCTTCCTGGGCCCATAGCTTCACCAACAGCCGGTGATCACATAACACTGCCGGTGGCCATTCTACTCAGCCGGTGGTGTCTCCCAATGTCCAGGGAAGCAATTCCGAGACTTTGGCAATCTTCAAAGAGGTAGAGCAGGGAAAATAGAGGCAGCCAATGCATGGCAGTGCACTTCCGAGCAAGACCCGAGCACACGCGAATCGAACCCTCTTCCCGAAGCCCCCCTTTTATTGCTTTTCTTATGCTTAGTTAATTTGTTAATTAATTAGGTGATTTGTAATAATTAATTAGCTTGCGAGTTAGTTAATTTGTATTATTCTTTCGGTCCCTCCGAGCGAGGGCGAATTTGTAATAAGTGTGGGTGAGTGTGTGCATGTCTTCCAACCCCCACTTCTTTCTCCCTTTTACTTACATGCTTTGATGGTTAGTAATAGGTCATGTTTAAATTAGCATACCTTATGCTGCGCATGCGTGCATCCATGCATTTGTCTCGCACGCACCGGGCTCGGTACATCATGCTAACTGCATTTGTACTTCAATTCCAAATTGAATACGTGCATCAATTGATCGCATTTCACATGCCATGTTTAGGTTAGCCGAGCCTACTCTGATTGTATCCTGTATGTGTTGCAGTAGTCAATTTGACATGAACTAGGATCATGCATGTTGGCAAACTGGTTTATTGTTTTTGCTCAGAGTACTCGGTAAGCATTTATGCTTTAGCATATCGCATGCGTGTGAATGCTATCATGACAGCATGCTTACTATGTGGCTAGATGCTTATGTGATAAACTGTTTGGATGCCTGTGGATGAAGGTTGGATTGTCTGAGTTGGAAAAACTCGTTCAAATCCGTATTTTAGCCTACTTGCGAGTAGCAAATTCCAAAGTGTTTTTCAAGACAAACGGATATGCAATGCTTATTTCCAAATCAGGCAATCTAGTTTATACTTGTGTACTGTGCGCATAACATAGTAATTCTAGGCTAATAAATGGAATAAGAACACATAACATTTTCAAAACTGGATATCATGGTTAGTAGAGGCCGATCTTCGGATCGAGCGAGAGGGGGTGCTCATAGCTGACCTTCCCCAATCGTACCCAAGTTCCCGAGCCGAGGAAACTTTGGTGACGACGGACACGTGGCCTTTGGCACCGAGTCAGGGTTTCCTAAATTCTCCCATTTTAAAATATTTAGGTGGCGACTCTGTATCTGGCAAAGCAGTCCATGTTTGGCACTTCTTTTCAAAAAATCTGTTTCTCAAAACTATTTGCCAGATTTGGACTCTTTGGTGCAGATTAAGAACCGTGACACAAATCAAGTCCGAACTGTAGCGAGGGCCCCACGCAGGCGCGTCTACAAACATTGTTGGCCAATATTGCAAGACAATATTAGGTGGCAAGATGTAGCTCCCATGAATACGGTAAAGTCAAGGATGCATACAGTGTTTACCGCTAATTCAGCCCCTGATTCCACTATGAAAAACTACATTTCTCTTGAAGATGACAACAGTCCAAGTGTTGGTAACAATCTAACTGTTGGTGAGGGCAGTGTCGCTGGAAAGGGTAAAAGGCCGATGGGTAGAAAATCTGCAAAAGAATTATTCCGGAGAAATCAAGTCATTGAAACTGAAGTCCAAAAAATGAGCATACAATTAGACACATTTAACCAACACCTTGCTGAGAAAGAAAAGAAAAAAGAGGAAAGAGAAGAAAAAAGGATTCAAGCACTGCAGGAAATGAAAGAACTTGAGATGAAAAAGCATGAGTTTGAGATGAAAAAGGAAGAACACCAAATAATGACTACAGACATTTCTCATTTGGACCCTCAGATGAAAGCGTATTACACAATGTGAAAAAATGAGATTGTCGCCAAGTGGTCCTCAAATGTGAGCAGCCCAAATTTTTATTTCCCCCTACCTCCTGATGAATAATTACGAGATAATGTATTTTTGAAATTTGCAATATCTTTTATTTTTTGATGTAATTGTTAGTCTTTATTTGCAATGTAATTTTTATTTTGTAATGAAATTTCATGTTGTTTTTTTATTTTATTTTTGAGTATTTTGTACTTCACAATGTAAAAAAAGACATTTTATGAAAAGACATTAACTGACATTAAAAGACTTTGTAAAATAAAAAGACATTAAATGAAGAACATTTTATTAGAATAAAAAGACATTAACTGGCATTAAATGACATTAACTGTCATTAAAAAGATAAAATGCAAACTTAATCTAACTCTCCAACTCGGGACCACAGGTGTTCAATTAGATCATTATGAATTACATTATGGGCTTCAACAGATCTAATCCTTTGCCGATTCAACATAAATTGAGCATACTTCTCATTCGGATCGCCTGACACTTGACAGCCCAAATTACTGGTATCAGTCTCAAGTTGTGCTGCACTGCGTTCATTTTCTGGAATATCACGCTCGTCTTCACTGATCATGTTGTGCAAAATAATGCACGTCTTCATGATGTAGTACAAGTCCTCATCACTCCAACCTCTAGCTGGCACGCTGACAATATTAAATCGTGCTTGGAGCACTCCAAATTCCCTTTCGACATCTTTCCGACATGCCTCCTGCATCCTCGCAAATAGTTGTCTCTTTGCGCCTTGAGGTTGAGATATTGTTTTCACAATTGTTGCACAACGAGGATAGATACCATCAGCAAGATAATACCCCATGGTGTATGCGTGATTATTGCTGGTGTAGTTTGCAGCAGGGGCACGTCCTCTAGTTAATTCAGCAAATAAAAGCGACCTGTCATGAACAGTAATATCATTTAGAGAGCCAGGCATGCCAAAGAAAGCATGCCAAATCCACAAGTCATAGGAGGCAACTGCCTCGAGTACAACTGTTGGTTTGTGATAGTGTCCAGTGTAAGCACCGACTTGGGCACTTGGACATTTATCCCAACGCCAGTGCACACAATCCAAACTCCCTAACATTCCAGGAAACTCGCGTTGCTCTCCCTCTTGCAATAATCTGGCGACATCTGCTTCATTTGGAGATCTTAAGTAAACGACTTCATAGGTAGCAACAATTGATCCGGTAAAAAAATTTAAGGCGGTAATTGCAGTACTTTCGCCGATTCTAATGTACTCATCTACAGCATCAGTAGGCACGCCATATTGGAGGATCCGAAGTGCTGCAGTCATCTTCGGTACACTGGATAATCCAGGAGCACCAGTGGCATCACGGGTTTGGATGAAGTACTCATTCACTTGTTGAATATCGTGTAAGATACTAACAAACAATGACTGCCTCATTCAAAAACGTCTTCAGAAGTATTCTTTTGGATAGACAGGATTATCTGCAAAATAATCTCTATAAATTTGTTCGTCGCCTTTAACCCTCTCACGATTAATGTATCAACGACCACTTGTGGAACCAACACGTCTGGTTTGTTGGTTTAGGCTTAACATCTGTAATCTTTGTTGTTGCGCTGTGAATAGTTACATCATGATAATATCATCATCAGATGATGAAGATTCATCAAAATCTTCATTTAATATGGCTTTACTCAAATTGTTCATTGTAGGTGGATGGGTGAGTAGGTGAATATAAAATTTGTAGAAAATCTTCTTGGTGGGTACAGAGAGTTTTGAAGATATGAAAATAATAGGTAGGTGAATATGAAAATTGTAGAAAACCTTATGTTATATTTATAGAGAAAATTGTGGGTGGATGAATGATGGATGGTTGTTGGGTGGGTGGATGAATAATGGGTGGTTGTTGGGTGGGTGAATGAATAATGGATGGTTGTTGGGTGGGTGGATGTGAGTGAATGAATGCTGGGTTAATAATTGATGGTTGGTTGGTGGTTGCAACTAGTTTTGGTTTCTAAACTCAACCAACCTGTAACAAACCTGCCCAACACATCCTATAACTCAAATTTTATTAAATATGTAGTGATATGTTTTTTGGTGGGGTGAATTAATAATATATATATATATTTTTTTTTTCCAATTTTTCATTTTTTTAAATTTTTTCTATTTGTCTAGTTGGGAATAATATAAATATATAATTTTTTTAACAAACAGGTAAAAAAATGTCACAAAAGACAAAAAATAAATAAAAATAAAATCACAAAAAATCTATATCCAAACAACACCTACAAACTTGGAGGGAAAGTTGGTTGAGATTTGTCAAAAATAGCAAATGACCATTGGAGCACCATTGCTATAATTTGGCAAAATAACACTATTTATTGCCAAATTATAGCAATAGCAACCCCAATATAGCAACAACCATTGGAGATGCTCTTAGTTAGCTATTCATTATTCATTTGGTATTGTAATAGCTAGTTTTAATTCGGACACTTGGACATTTGAACCCTCTTGCACAAGGGCAAATTGTAATAATGTGGTGTATGTTTTCCAACCTCTATTTCTTTCTCCCTTTTATTTATCCACTTACAATGGTAGCATAGAGCATCACGTTTCCTTAGCATTGTTCCATGACTTGCATCTACTCATTTTGTATACATAAGGGTTCGGTTCATCATTCTAACCAATGTCAAGAACAAAATTTTTGCTCGAATACATGCTTTATCCCATGTCTTGAATTGAATCAAATTTCATGCTAGTAGCCAAAGTTGTTGTTTGCATGATTGTATGTGTCATATTAGTCATGTTGCATTATTTAGGAGCATGCATGTTTTCTAATTATTTTGCTTCGCTTGGGTTGGAGTGCTAGGTGAACACTTATTACTTTAGCATGTTGCATTGTGTGTGATTGTTTCCATATCAAGCATATCCTATGAGGCTAAGTGCTTAAGTGATATACCTATTTGAATGCTGGTGGATGAAGGTTTTTTACTTAACTTGGAATAATTTGATTAAATGTCAATACAAGCCCGCTTTTTAAGTGATATGTATTCAGAACGCTGTTTCAAAACAAACATGAAATCAATGCATTCCAAATTTTGCTAATTGGTCTATACTTGGGTGCAACACATAGTAAAAATTAGCAATAAGAATTGGAACAAGAGCATATAATATAAAATAAGAATCACATCATGATAAGTAGAGGCCGATTTTTTCGGGTGAGTGGGGTGCTCAATCCATGACCTTCCCCTCTCGTACCTAAGTTCCCTGAGCTGAGACACTTTGCGGATGACAGACACGTGGCCTTTGGCACAAGTCTCGGGTTTCCTAAATTTTTCAAAAATATTTAGGAGGCAACTTTGTAATCTGGCAAAGCAGTCCATTTTTGACATTTTGATTCAAAATCGATTTTTCAAAAGATTTGCCGAATTTGGACTCTTTTGTGTTTACATATTTCACATTGCACTTGTGAAATCAGAACCACGGAAGTCCGAATTGTAGGACTACTATGTCTGAAAGAAGCATGAAAAGAAAGCTACAACTACACCCAAAACTAGTCCGAGAGACGACTGAAAAAGTCGCTCTTATCCGAAGGAGATTGATTACGGCTCAAAGCTGATAGAAGAGTTATGCCGACAAGAGAATGTGACCTTTATCTTTTGAGATCGGCGACCATGTGTTTCTTAATATTTCACCGAGGCAGGGTTTGATGAGTTTTGGGAAGAGTGGGAAACTATCTCCAAGGTTCATTGGACCATTTGAGATCTTAGAGCGGATCAGAGAGGTAGCATATCGTTTAGCCTTACCGCCACAACTTTTTGGAGTTCACGATGTATTTCATGTTTCCATGCTTAGAAAGTACAAACTTGACCCTTCGCATGTGCTTGATTGGGTTGATTTAGAAGTAGACGAGGATGCTTTTTATGAGGAACGATTAGTTCAAATACTAGATACTCGAGAACAGGTGTTAGGGTAAAACCATACCCTTGGTGAAGGTGTTGTGGAGACATCGTAGTGTTGAGGATGCAACTTGGGAACGAGAAGCGGAAGTCCGCTCCAAATACTTGGATTTGTTTAAATAACAATGTTTAGTTGGTTTGTGGTCTTGTGTATTTTGATGTTATTATGAGAATTGAAAGTTTTCAATGCTAATTACAACCTTTTAAACTCTATGTGGTTTGGAAAAGCATAGTTTTGATCAAACTCGTTGAATGTTAATGAAATCATCAAGTTGTTAAAAAAAAAAAAATGTACTAAGTGATCATATTGTTAGTTATGACCTAAATCTTGCATCATGGTATTGTTGGGTTAGAACTTGTCCTTGCAGAAGAGGTTGATTTAATTTCGGGGATGGAATTTTCTAAGGTGGGAGAGGTTGTGATGCCCCGGCTCCTTTAAAGCTATTGAGTACATTATTAGTAACATCTGTCTCTTTTTGTGTGTCTTCTTTATTGTTTAACTCTTTGAAGTGGTGTTGTTATTCATTTTCCCTCAGGATTGTTATGTTAAGTACATTTTTGTGAATTCCAAGATGTTATCTTGCACTTTTGGGTGTTGGACAGGAATTGGGAAGGTTAGTTGTTGTCCTGGTAGTTCCTGGTCTCACTTTCTGGGTGGGACTATTCAAGCGGTCTTTTGGTTGCTCGAGCAGTGAATCTGACCTCCTAGTACTTGGGTTTACAAACTGAACTTCTAGGAGCATGAATTTTTTGCTCGAGCGAAGAATTGATTGCTTGAGCGGTCTTTTACAAAAGGGTGTGGAGATTCTGGGAGTGGGTGTTTTTGGCTCGAGCATAAGTTTCATCGCTTAAGCGGTCTTTCAAAAATTGAATTGTTCGCTCGAGCAATCTGTTGACTGTTAGTTTCGAAAATTATCAAATCACTTCAAAAGTTGAGTCTTACCCACTTTCCCATCAATTTTCACTTTACACTCTCTCTCTACATTAACCTTCACTTTGTTTTCTCTCATCTCTCTCTAGCCTCTAACCCACTTCATCTATTCCTTGATCCCTCACTATTTATTCATATTTCAACCTTGGTGCCTTCTTTAATTTTGGAGAGCTTGTCGAGGGCTACGTGGTATACGGTGGATATTGGATTTTTACACCATTGGTTTCGAAACTTTTCATTCTTTCTTCTCAAGTTCTTAAGGTAGGGATGTTCTTTGAGTTATATATATGTTTTCTAGGATGTCTTGTCCTTTTTAATTAAGCTGCACTAGATCGATTTTGGAAGTTGAATTTAGAAAAATATTGGAGAAATTTATTCTTTCTCATGACTTGGTCTAAGATAAATTGTTTTGGGTGGGCTATGAACTATTTGGGAGATGTTTGCTTGTAGTGTTTTGAAAATAAATGGAAAAATCCCATTTTTGATAGAACCCTAGATTTTGGAGAAATTTGGGAAAATGTGAAATTGAGGTGATATTTATGAAATTGATGATAAATCTCTTGAGTTTATGATGAAAACTTTCTGCGACATTATACTGTTGAGGCATGTATGAAAGGAAATGAAAATTTTGATTGAACAATCATGGAAACATGGGATGTGCATGTTGGCACTTTGGAAATTTAATGATGAATATAGATTGTGAATATGTGAGAATCTCATATGTCACATGGATTTCTATTTTTTGCTTTGATTTTGGAAGGTTTCGAATCGTGGAAATTATACTTGAACAAATGTGAAAGATGTTGGCAATGTTGTACAAAGGAGATAATTATGTGTGGTCTATTCTCATCGGCTCATTTGCATTACTTTAAATTTCGTTTACCTGCAATCTTAAGGTTGAGATAAATTCTTGATTTTAAGAAAGATGATTGTTATTGATGAAAACATTTTGGGGTAAATACATTTGGTAAGTCCGGTTAGGGGGTGCAGATTATAAATTAAGTTGGCTTGAGTATCCTTGGTGTAAGACAAAAAAACACGAACGTGTGGGTGCCTAAGTCCTCTGGTTAGTAGCTAGTAAGGTAGGATTTTGATAGTGCCTGATACGCCTACCTACAAACACTAGCCCTAGGGAATTACCTTAGTCATATTTACTACCCCATTGTTTAAAGTCTTGGTTTTATTGAAGAACATGAACTTTGAAATGACTATTGCATGGATTTCAAAAGAGATGCAAAACTTCGATAATTGAATATGGAATAGCATTGCATTCATATAATTGTATGAGATTTCTTTTAAACATATATACTTTGTGAAGATATCTCTATTGGGCTTAGTGTCCACCCCTAGTGGAATTGTGTAGGAAAGGATGTTGTGGCTCCGCCTAGATCTAGGCATGGAGTGTGTTGAGGGCAGAGGCTCTCCTTTTGTGTGTGTGTGTGTGTGTGTGATGTAAATTCAAGCTAAGGGCTTTATGTGTTGGTTGATAACCTTTTGTGTAGCTAGACTTATGTCCTGGGCACTTACTTTATTGTTTATTTCTTTCCCTC